TTACTGGCAACTGATGACTTCTGGGAAGGGGAAATTAAGTCTCATTTAAGGGTGAGATTCTTAGTAGGTTCACTAGGCTCCAGTGAATAAATCCATAAAGAAGAGCATTTTGGGACAAAAGCCTGACTCTGTAGGTTTTTATATATAAATATACAAATATATTAGAATACAGCCTGGAATTTTGTGGGAGAGTTAGAAAGGGTAGGTGCAGATATGGGAGGAGATCTAAATATGATCAACATATATTGTATGAAATTCACACAAAAAGTAAATTTTTTAAAAATCCAAATTTTTTGGATATACTTATATACACATAAGCACACATACACATGAAAAATATTTTTAAAATTTATACTTTATGTGTATGAGTGTTTTGCCTGCATATATGTAAGTACACCCATGGCATGAAGTGCCCTCAGAAGTCAGAAAAGGATGTTGGATCCCCTGGAACTGGAGTTACTATATGGGTGCTAGGAGTCAACCAGGATCCTGCAAGAATAGTCAGTGTTCTGAGCCATCTCTCCAGCTCCTCAAAAAAAGATAAATATTTAAATGTATAACCCCCAGGATAGACTCTTGTCTTTAAATGCAGTTAGTTTGAAATGATTGAGCTACTTAAAATTTGAAGTCATTACATTATACTGTAATTCTGTTTTCCTTTCTATCCCCTGTATGTCATAAAGTAAGTCTATCTCTACCAACTTAATGGTCTGTAATAGAAACTTAATTAAAATCTCTCTATGCATAGAGTGATTGGTTCATGTGTGCAAGGGGGCAGATGAGAAACTGTGCTGTTTAACTTTGCTGTGAAGGTCCTTATGGTCTGGTCAGTCCTTATCTGTTAACATCCCTAATAAAGCTGACAGGAGAAGTTTCTCCCTCTCTGTCAAATATGGCATATGAGGTAAATGAGAAGCCAAGTAATCTTCTCCCTTCAGATAGAATCCTGGATTACTGAAAACAGCTAGGCTATCCTCCCAGATGTCAGAAAAGAAATAAAAGGGTTATTGTTCTTATTTTAAAAGTTGTATATCAGGGAAAAGTAGTTTAAAATTAAAATAATCAACACATTCATTTCAGGCAGAAAACTGAGCTGCTCTTTATTTCTTTACCTATGAGATGAGGAGAGCTCCAAGTTCTCATTTGTGCATGGATGGGGATGCGTCTGTGGACATACTAAACATCATCAGAATGGCAGGCATTCCATCCAGACATACTACCCAGTTTATTAATCAAGTGTTGCATAAGAGAGAGGAAGAGGATGTTCCCAATATACTGTCAATAGAACATGAACCTCAAGCCTCATTTCCTAATGTACCTACTCATTTATTAATTCATCATTCATTTGATCTACATATATGTTATGCCTACCACAGTACAGATCTTTGTCTTAGATGCAGTTTCAGGGGGTGAGTGTGATGTCACAGCTGTTCTAGACAACTAATAGTTTAAGCAAGATTCCTTGTCCTCCAGTCTATGGATCCATAGTGTGTGAAGTTGGGCTTATAGGATTTAAAAATCCCTTGAAATTAAGTGCAGTTTTTGGTCTGAATATTTGTAGCAACACTTTTTTTCTGAGACAATTTCCCTAGCTTTCCTCAGATTGTTAAGGGATTTGGAGTTCAAAAATGATTAATGAGCAGCTGGTGTAGAAGGAAAGAAAACCAAACCCTGGCTCTAACAGATGGTCAGCCATCAGTCCTGTAACCCAGATCAGAACTCAGGTAGATTTTCCATGTTTCCTGACCTGGTACTCCATTTGCAATGTGTCTCTATCTCTGATATACCCCCTGTCTCTCTGTCTCTGTCTCTGTTTCTCTGTCTCACTCTCTCCCCCAACCCCATCCTACATTATTCTTTTCTCATTTTTCATTTTGAACTCCAAAGAAGAAATGTTGGAATGTCCAGGGAATTGCCATCATTTCTTTTGAGCCACACCTTCCTGGCAAGACACCTCAAAGGTTTTTGGATCTTCACCAAGAGAGTGAACAGCAATTCACTGGGCCAAGCAATGGATCAAACAACAACTTAGTTCTAATTAGTTCTGTAAGGGCAAGGTGAAGTCATTGAGGACAGATTGTGGCCACTGCTATAAAAAGCCCTGTTAAGGCATAGTCCAGGAAGAGACTGCAGTTGTGGATGTTTCCTGAGAAGTTGGTCAGGGTATGGAAGACGGATCTAGGGGAGCACGAGTGACCAATTTTTCCATTAGCTTGCCAGACCCCTCTTAGGATAGGTTAGTAAGATCACTGCTGTATTCGGGGCATTCCATGTGAGGCATGGGATAAAGGAAAGCTCACTGTTTCATGCATATTGAAAATCTGAAACTGTTTGTATTAGCATCAGCCTAATCATGAGAACTGGGAAAAGTGACTGAAAAACAGACACCAGAACAAAGTGTCTTTATTTCTGGTCTGCAGTACTCTCACCGGGATCAAGTCAGGCATACAGGGATCCAAAGGCAAATAGGACTTTAAGAAAAAGTTTCCTTGCAGAGATCATGTTAGGATAAAAGTTTTATTGTTTGATATGTAGAGCTGAGTTGATCAGGGCTGGAAACCAGAGGGACAGAATTCTGGCTCTGGCTCTGACTCATGTCCCTTGGGGCAGCAATTTGAACCACAGTTTCTTTATTTTAAAATGAAAATATTAAGCTCATCCAGCTTGGGTTGTCAGAAGGATTAAATAAGATAATATATGTGAAAATGCTTTGCTGTAAATTAATAAAGCAAAACAGGCTTGCAAAAATCATTGCTTGAGTTTGGTGTGTTATTGGCAGAACAGAACCATTCATTACTGGCGTCATACTGGTTCCTATCATTAAATACACTGTTTGTCCTCTCAAGGTCTTTGTGAGTAGATTACAAATAAATCTGATATGCATTTTGCTTCAAAGGGCATCTGATAAGGCTTTAAAAGTTTAAAAGTACAAACTGAATATTAAAAGGGCCAGTTAAAAGTTAATGGAGCAGGATACATCAGGAGAGAGGGGTTGTTGGCCAAGGGTGAGAGAGTGCTCCTCTCATTTGCAAGAAGAAATTTTCTAATTCCTTAGAATTATGCTAGAAATTTCCCAAGGGAGGTACAATGCCTATAGTTTGATTAAATTCTTCATAGGACTTTTGACTATGAGCACCCAGAGCTCCAGAACAACTAGAATTTTAAATAATTTATTTATGCTGAGTCAATTATAAAAGAAAGAGATCCTGTTCTGAGTTTAAGTTGGTAGGATGAAGTTTGTGACTTGATCTTTCACATTCTGAGGTCTCTTGACACTGCATATCTAGAGAACTGTTTGCCCACTGAGGCTTTAACAGTTCATTACCTTGAGTATTTCTGAACTACCTGCCTCTAGTACCTCTAGTGGGATATAGATCCTTGGGAATGGAAACTAGAAAATACCTACAGTCCTGTAGTGGCCAGCTCAGAAGATAGTGTAACCACACCAAGATGGAATTCTGAAGAAGACATACTACTCCGTTTGCCTTTTCTGCATTTCTGGCTTTCAAAACCATTTTGATGAGTCAGGTACATGTGATGGATGGATAGATGTCTGTAGGGAGCAACATTTGAAGAGGTTTCTTAGTTTCAGATTTTATGAAGTCAGCTGAATGATCTGCTGATGATGATTTAGTTGAGGACTATATGCAGTTTACTATCCAAAGTCAGAAACAAGGAGCTAAAGATCACCTTATGTTATTCATGATCGATCCCTGTTAACTAGGGCTCTGGCCAATAATGCTCAACGAGTGTTGTGACTAAAGAACTTGGGCTCTTCGGATCAGTGACTTAGTTTGACTTTTAGCTCCACTGCTGACTTACTGTGACTTTGGTCAAATTAATTTTCCTCAGGCTTCAATTTATCATCAGTAAAATGGGCACAACAGTTAGTATATTAGTGAAGATCAAAGTGGGGACGTGTGTCTGTGATAAAGTGCTTAGCTGGCAGTATCCGCCAAGGGAGGAGTGTTGGAGCAGTTCCAGGCTGCAGCCATTTGGTGTGCTCCAAGTCATCCTGTCTCCAGGGCTCTGTGCTGAGTCTTCCTTTCTGCTCTATTAGACACTGCAGATTGTCATTCTTTCTTTAAACCTCGAGCATGGCTTTCTAATGAAGGCCTGTCTCTATCCGAGTTGGAGTTGGAGTCGGGTCCTCATCTCCTGACTGTTCACCAGTGTGATTTTGTATACTACAGTGACTGGAGGGGGAGGATGCAAACTCTCTGGGATAAGAAAAGGTCGCCCCCCCCCACTTTTATTCTTTGCTGACTTTGCAAACTGAAAATAGATTCCCAGCCATCGTTACCTCACCCAGCAGCAGAGGCTTAGACATTACAGTGTAATCATTTCATGCCCAGAGCCATATGGCAGAAGGCAATTTACTGCTGGATGCTGAAACGGCTCCATTAAATGAATGCCTTTTGATTTAATAATCATTAGCGTCACACAGACGCTGACTCTAAGTATGGGCTTGAGGGAGAGGTGAAGCCTGGAATGCTCTTTTAATACTCTGTATTTTGGAGGTAGACTTCTTTCTGAATTGACATCTCTTGAGCTAGCTCAAAGGGAGTGTACTTTTTTGGCATTAGGGATTATCTACATCACAAGGAAATTGGCTTCTGATTGGACTGGTGTATCACAGCAAGTAGTAAGTCTCACAGTGGGCTCAGAGATTCATGCTGAGCTGGGATAGGATGCCGGGAGAGGGAGGGTGACCCATTCCAGGTACTCTTGTAATGGGTTGGGTTCCAAGCCATATGACATCTTACCCTAAATCTGTTGTCCTATAAGATAACAAAGCTCTCTTTCTATGAATTCTTCCCTGTTCTGTGTTGAAATTCCAGACTTCTGCTAACCTTCCCTGGGCTTTCCCTTCCAGCCCTGCTGGCCTACTAAGAGCCTTTATATTTGAGTCAAGGAATTAGTCATGCCTTGTTCACTAGATCAGTGTTACACATGCTTCAGAGTCTTCAAGCATGGAAGAATGATGAGTACTCGGTAACTGAAAACTTTACAGTACTTGAAATTTTAATATAGGTTATAATGTTGCCAGATGTTTATAGGCAGACTAGTTCTCACCAAGCTGTGGGATTCTTTTAAATAAGCACTTAGAAGCTTCATTTGCTTAAAAACCACTGACTCCTCATATGAACCACAAGGCAACTAGAAGCATGATGAAAGCCTGACACCCACATCTTCAAAATATTCTTGTCCTTGGGCTTCACTCATCTTGGATTCCCAGAACAGGAGGCCAAGGCAGGACAAAGTGCTCCCCAGGTGATGGCCATTATCCATGAGGGCGAGGCAGCATCCTGGAACAGAAGTGATCTCCCTTGTAGGAAGCAGATTGGCCTCCTCAAGTGATGGCAATGATAAGGAACCAGAACCAAGACAATGATCAACTAGAACACACCCTGACCATGACTGTGAAATTGATCATATCTCTTGCCTCCATGCCCAGTTCCTCATCTATTTAAACCTAAACCTCACATTATACCCCCAAAATGGACTTGGGGTCACTGGACTCTGTTATCTGTTCTTTCCAATGTGGTCACGTTGAATAAATTTCTCTTTGTTTCTCTCTCTTTAATTGGCATATTGGGGACTGGTGTCCCAGCCTAGCCTGTTTGAGCTACTGGACCCTGGGCTTCTGCCTGAAAATCTCAAAGTATGCCCCATACCCATACCCATATGGGCAGCACTAATTGGACTTAATGAATTACAGAAAGGAGAAGGAGGACGAGGACAAGGATGAGGATGAGGGTGGAGGAGGAGGACGAGGGGAGGAGGGGAAGAGGAGGAGGAAGAAGAGGAAAAAACATGAAGATAGGAGGGGGACTTGTGGGGGGTGCCGTCCAAGGGAGGGGGTTCTTGGGGTGGATATGATCAAGATACATTGTATACATGTAAGAATAAATAAGTTCTTTTCAAAAACCTCCAGTTACAGTTGAAAATGTGAAATGCTTTCTGTGTTCAAATGTACCACATCTGGCCAAAGGGAAAGTCATAGTGCATGTTCAATGAATGAATGAATGAATGAATGAATGAATGAAGCACGTGTAATTCGCTGTAATGAAGGTTTTATAGTACTTGCTTGGTGGAGGAGTATGGATAAGAATGAAATGGCTTGCAGAAAGGACAGCATATGCCAACAAAGTGTCACAGAAGTGTTAAGGGCAGATGAAAGATAGGAAAGCCAACAATTTGAATAAATTCGCTAAAACAGAGAGTCATGACTAAAGACTTCTTATATAGACAAAAAAGAAAGCAATTCTTTGTGTTGAAGAAATTCTCTAATATCTTCAATACTCCTTTTGTGAGTCAAAATGTTTTCAACTCTGTTTCAAAATAGTCACTTTATTTCATGCTATATTTTGAGCATATTCATATCCTATGGGAAGGCAGTGGGTGAGAAAATGTTCTTTCCTCTGACAAATACTCACCTTTTCTTGTCTGTTCATTAAAAGCAGGATTTCAAAAGTGACATTTCCAGGCCATCCCATAATAGATTTCCCTGGAAGCAAGTATGAAAATGAAGATTTTAGGGGGAATTCAGTCCTTGAGTCTCACAAGCTCTAATATTCTAAGTATCTCACTACCCCCTAACACAATTCCACTTTCCTTGGATGGAAGAGTCCAAGTTTCTTCTTTGCTTGGAGTGACTTCTCAGCGATCATAAGGGTCATTAAGCCTGAATTGACAGTAGCCCTTGAAGATTTCATTTCAAAACCATTAATTATCCTCAGTCATGCCTTCAAAGTATTAAGTGAAAGCCATCAGGCAATGGTTATAATTAAAGATTGAAAATACTCACCAGGGACCTCTTAGGGCCCTTCAGAAAAGCTTCCAGGACCTTGCTTGCTTTCAGAGGGTGATTGGGAGAACGTAGTGCCAGTAGGGAGAAAGCTGTCCTCTAAGAAGAGTGGGACAATCAGGCCTCATTTTGATTATAAGGCTGTCCCCAAGCTGTCTTGATATTTGCTTATGAAAAATCTCCAGTGTCAAGTCGAATGACATTCAGAAGTCTCTTTCAGGGGCTGGAAAGATGGCTCAGGGGTTAAGAGTGCCAGCTGCTCTTACCGAAGAAGGGTTTTGATTCCCAGCACCCACATGGTTACTCATAAACTTTTGTAACTCCAGTTCCAGGGAATCCAGTGCCCTCTTCTGGCCTCCATGAGCACCAGGCATAAATGTAGTGCATGCATACGCACACGCACACGCACGCACACACACACACACACACACACACACACACACGCAAGCATGTAAATCTTTTTATTTAAAAAAGTCTCTTTTTGAATCAAACTTTTTAGATATGAAGTGAAGAAGCCTAATCCTTCTAGGTGAAAGAGCAGAAAACTGAGGGCTAGAGAGATGGCTCAGTGGTTAAAAGCACTGACTGCTCTTGCAGAGGACCCGGGTTTAATTCCCAGCACCCACATGGTGGCTACAAACTGTCCTTAACTCCAGTTCCAGGGGAATCTGATGCCCTCTTCTGACCTCCGTCGCACTGCATGGTATGGGTGCACTCACATACTTGCAGGCAATACACTCAGACACATAAAGTAAAAATAATAAATAAAATTAAAAAAAAGCAGAAAACTAGTGAGTGGGTGTTCATATGGGAATTGTTTTCTGGTTTGAAGAACTAGAGAGAAGGGCCAAACACATGGATAATTCACTGCAATTTAATAAAGGCACATGATTCCCATTTCTAGAACCTTAAATAAGAGACGTGATTTTCAGCACATGAAATCTATTATTGAGCATACAACTGTGTACAGAGGACATGCTTCATACTAGACTATGTGCAGCAAGGACACAAATGCTCACCTTGTCCTCACCTAGCCCACAGCCTAATGGAAAGATGAAGACAAATAAGTACAAAATTGACTGAGATGAAATGAATATAAAAAGGGATCAGAGGAGAGGAGCAAGGGTCCGGAAGTAGAGAGATGTTTCACCTGTGCAGGAAGTGTCCCCCTGTTTAAGACAGCAGAAATAGTACTGGTTAGGTCAGGATATTTTCTGTATTTATTTATGTATTGGGTAAAGCAAAAATTATTTAATGAGTTGCTCTGCACAGACAATGTTTGCTGGATATTATGCAGTAGTTAGTGGTGGTGCATCAGTAAACACAGTAATGTGGTTATATGCCCATGGAGCTTTGTTGGTGGGGCATTTGTTTGCAGTAATGGTGGAAATTTTATCTTTGTACTGAGCAATTGTAAATAAAATGTGACACATTGAAAAGCAATATCAACTTAATTCTAAACCATCAGGAATTGATTTTAAATGCCCCAAAATAAACTTGGTCCAAATACTTGAGATTTAACAAACCTTCACATTTTTAGACAATGTCCTTTCCTTCTTGTAAAACCCAGTCTGCTATAAGAGTTCTTGACAGCATTCATCTTTCTGGTGCTGCTGGAGCATAGACAATGGGATACAAGTTGTTCCTGGTTTGTTCCCAAATGCCCCAAACTGTCACTATTGGTTTTAAAATTATACCTTAGCAGGAAAAAAAAATGTAGACTGAGTTATGGCAACTGGATATCAGGCAATAGCTGCCTTGTTCTGCTAAATGCTTTGAAAAGAGAGAAAGGAGGGGAAAGAAAAAGTCCCATCTCAACGCATCAGGTGCTTCTCAGCATTAGAAGGATCTTCTTTTCTGTTTGTCTTTTATTTATTTACTTTTAAAGAGTTTTGTGTTCTACCAATTGAACTAGCAATACATAATTAAAAAAAATTTTTTTAGCCTGACATAGTGGTACACAGCTTTGATCTCAGTGCTTAGGAGTCAAAGGCAGGCAGATAGGCAGATCTCTGGGAGTTCTATATTTAGGGCCAGTGAGTAAAAGTACTTTTTGTTCAAGCCTGATCTCTCTCTCTCTCTCTCTCTCTTGCACATGTGCTTTCTCTCTCTCTCTTCCCCTTACACACACACACACACACACACACACACACACAATCCATATATGTACTCCATATATATGCTCATAGGAGCAGGTCTATGAGTAATAAATACAAACAAATACCATTATATTATATATTCATATTTATTATATATTCTGACACAACACATTTTCTTTATCCACTCATCTGTCAATAGATAACTAGGTTTATTTCTTTTCTTGGCTAATGTGAATAGTATCTCAATCAACATATTAGTGTAGATGTTTCTTCAACATACAAATTTTGTGTCTTTTGGAGATTGCTCTGTTCTATGGTAGCTCTATTTCTAGTCTTTGGCGGACTCTCCATACTGTTACAGTATATTAATTTACAGTCTCCCCAACAATGTATGAAAGTTTCTCTTTCTCTGCACCCTCATCAGTATTTGTTATTTGCTGTCTTTTTGATGATTGCCATTCCAACAGGGATGAGATTATATCTCAATTGATTTATAGTTCCCCAGTGATCAGCAATACTAGCATTTTTTTCACATACTTCTTGGTCATTTATATAGCTTCTTTGAGAAATATCTACTCATGTTATTCACCTATTTTCATTTTTTATATTTTATTTTATTTTTAATTATGTGTATGTGTGTGATTTGTGTGTGGGCATGGGTATGAGTTCAGGTGTCCACAGAGGTCAGAAGGCATCAGATACCCTGGAGTTGGAATTATAGGAGATTGTGAGCCACCAAGTTTGGGTGCTGGGAACTGAACCCAGGTCCTCTGCAAGAGCAGTACATGCTCCTGACCACTGAGCCATCTCTCCTGCTCCTTAGTCACCTATTTTTAAATCAGATTTTTTTTTTTACTGTTGTTAAAATTCTTTATAAATTGATAGATTCTGGAAAGTAATTTCTAGTCAGACAAATATTTTACAAATATTTTTTTCCATTCTGTGGGCTCCCCCTCACTTTTTTAAAATCTGTTTGTTGTACAGAAGATTTTTAGTTTTTGAGAAAAATGACTTAATTACCCTGACAGGAATATATTCCTTTTAGTAATATATTTTAATTTATGCACTTTTCAGGATTAAATATATTATTTTAAGATTTAGGATGCAAAGTTTTGTTATTAGAGAATTTTGATGATCTCTCAAAAGCATTTATGATTAGTAAATACTATTTTAATATTAGAAACTAGCTATCTATCTGCATTTAGCAGTATTGCAAATAAGAAGAAGTGGAAGAGAAAAGGTTTCATATCAGGAGTATAAAATGTAGGTGGGGACATAAAAGATTTTAAAATGAATGCTTTCTTATTTGTGGGCTGGAGCTGCTCCTACTGACTTGCAAAGCCAACTGCTGCATCTTCCAGAGTTTTGCAAAATAGTTATTAAGTGTAGCCATTATTAAATATTAAATTTTCTGGGCATGGTGGCACATGCCTATCATCTTAGCACTTGGGAGATGGAGGTAGGAAGACTATCACAAGTTCAAAGCCAGCTTAATCTACACAACAAGTTCCAGGCCAACCAGAGCTTTATAAAAAGACCCTGTCTCAAAGAAAACAAAACAAAATTAAATTATATAAACTTAAAATTAAATTATAATACATCATCTCAAACTTCACCACTTCCTAGTGATTATATTTTTATTATACTTTGCTATTATACATGGCCTTAGGGCTTTTTTTAATGATGGCTGTATTTGGCTGTTGGAAATCCTCTATAAAGGTGCATGAGTATGCATCTCTTTCCAGCTCTGACTAGAAACATCATCTTTGTATCTTGAAAATGGCCATTGTGGGAATATTTATAACACAAAACTTGATAAACTCTACCAAGTAAGACTGTTTTCTGTCCACTGGAGTCCGTTGTTAAACATTCACTTGCATACCATTACTTACAAATATCAAATCACAGCAGACTCCCAGAGGTACTGCTGCTCACAAGAGTGAAATCCACCAGGTTTGCTCTGAGGCAAACTGAACTGGTTCTTTATGTGGGTCAGGACCACCCTCGGGGATATTTAGAATGAGGACAAACAGAATGCCCACATGCCCCTGAACATTTTTATACAGGTGAAATCAGGTTGTCATGAGACTTTTCAAAGGTGAAACAATGTACATTTTTAAAAGTGATATGAAGACTAAGGGTGTGTGTGTGTGTGTGCATGCGTGCATACATGGTGAGTGTGTAATGGATATGGGGCAGTCTAGCCCCCTCTGGCTGAGGGTCATGAGATGATTGGATAACTTCTGCAACTTTCCAGAAAGAGCTAAAGGCTTTTCTGGACTCTTTCATTCAGTATTGAAGCCTGAGGGACAAAACATTCTCTTTGATCTTGCTATGTAGTTGTAACAATAAAAAAAAGTGACAATATTTTTTTAAAGGTAAGCTAATAGAGAAGGTATGCTCACATGGCTTCCTAGAAGTGTAGGAGGATGGTCTTTGAACCAGCACTTTGTAAAGTGGGTTTTTTCTATGCCAAATCAATGCAGACTTCTAAATACTTCAGGGAGGGACCAATGACAATGAAATCCGCTTATAACATGTAAAAAAAGTAAAGTGTATGATACCAAGAACACAAAAATGCCAAATATTCTGCTGTAAAATGGAAATTTTTATGTTATGCATATGGTACCAAAATCTAAAATAGACACATTAAAATAATATCTGTGCATTCCTACAATAAATAAATGAATAAAATCATTCTAAAGAGAACAGGGACAGTTATGTTATTTAATCAATCGGTATTTTTCTTCATGTAAAGAAAACATATATATCATGAGCAGTAACAATGGAAGCAAGGAGGCAAAGGCAAGTGTTAAGGAGCTTGGAAAAGCCACAAATGCACTAAGGTAAGGAAAGGACTGGGCTCTTGCTACTGTTTACTGAGTAGTGCAGAGCAGGCTCAATTGCACAGTCAGTGCTGGGGAGACCACGGTGGAGCACAGGAAGCTAAAGTCCAAGGAAACAAAGAAAGAGAAGGCTTCCAGGATAGGATCTGATTGGTCGCCTGTGCTGCAGCAGATGCTAGGTTAGTAGAGGCTTGAGAGGTTCACCTGAAAAGTACTACCATATTTCACCAAGGCCCATTTCTTACAGTTGAACAACTCTGAGAACAGTTGCCGGTGTCCCCATCTCTGTTACCTGGGTGGCAGGCATGATCACATCATTGCTG